CATTCCTGCTGAGGTTAAAGTCTGGCCACATATCCTTTGTGCAGAACCTCAGCAGGCCTTATTCTCTATTTTCCTGGACTTTGATTAGTTCTTCAAAAAAAACAGATGACAGCAAAAAGAATCCACTCAGTGTTTCAGAATGGTAGTATTTTAAATCTGCTTTGCAGATATGGCTGCACAAGATTTAGACAGAGGAGAATCAGATCCTGACATTTACAACTAAATAAAGATCATCCTATTGTTTTCTACGGATTTAAATTTTCATTAAAGAAAAGGACATGACTGAAAAAATGGTACTTTGAAGATTTATATCACCTAATGATTCAACATTATATTTCCATTACAAATGAATGGGAACACATTGAATCTCTTTTAAAAATGAAAGACCAAATGCATAACTACGTTTGACTAGAATACATAATTACCTCTGAAACTTGGTCTTCAAATGCCTTCTAAATGCCAACTTTTAAGAGCTGGCTTGCATCTTGTGTTTTCTTACTGATTTCAACTGCATGAGTATACAGCATTACACTGTATATTCCACAGTATACACTGTGGAATACTTTCAAACTAGCTAAGGAATAAGCAAAACAAAGTACATTTTTGAGGAATTAGACTGCTGTTAAACACATTCAGCTTTCTAACACGCACCGAATGTAACAGTCTATCGTGTGCCTTTGAGAGAATCAGCATTTAGTCAAAAACCTGATGTGAACACAGTCAGTTAAGTCTGAGTTATTCTGAAATCAGAAAGGCCACAAAATCAAAATCCATTCTAAGAATCTTCCTACATTGCAGGAGTTTCTTTGGGTTAGTCTCCATCCCTACCACATTCCTACATTTGGCAGAACTCAAAAGGTAAGATGCCTTGCCTAGAAAGACACAGGCCTCTAATGAAAAGCAGGTCTATTCCACAAAACAAAAGAATTAGGTAAGATAAAAAGATTTCGTGCCAAAAATTATCTCATGTCCTTCCCATGTTTTTTTTTTACCTATTTGTTTAAGTGCAGTTCCAAAGTTCAGGGAAAAAATGCTTATTTCTAGTTAAGTGTATTTTGCAGCTTTCCCCATAACAAACTTCATTTGCTGTATATTTATTAAAGCTAAAGCATTGTTTATACTCTTCTTCATCTAGCAAAATTCTCTCATAATATCATCAATGAGGTCACTGCAGTTCCACCTCTACATTTAGGCAACAAAATTGTCCTGTGTGCTCTGAGTAACTCTTTGGAGATACAATACATCAAATGTTATGCACTAACAAAAGAAAAATCACAGCCACATCAGCAAACACAGAAGTCCTATAGTTTGTCAGAATTGTAAATATATGTCTACATTTGTAAGAATACTCAAAAATAGAATGTTTGGGGTTTTTATCAGCATAGTATATGGCAAGGTACAGTGAACGTTTTAATGGGGCAAGACACATGCAGACGTCTTAAATTCAGCTACAGTTTTCAAATACAACCCAGACTACTGAGTGTAACTTTAATTTTTAACTATGTACTATTTCCTGCTGTTGCCATCAGCATATCAATCAAGTGTATATTATTCTGGTTTGCTCATTTTATTAAAAGCAAATTCGGAGCACAATTGACTTTTCATTTGTTTAACAAGTGAAGAAATATTTACCCTGACAGCCATTTCATTGTAGAAATTCATCTTCATAATAAAATATGCTGTCTGTGAATCAAGAAAAAAAAAGATGGCATATATTTCAGTTACACAAAGACAGTGCTTCTATTTTTACATATAAAAGATAAGAATCTTTATACATAATACATAATAAGAGTTCTAGGCTTAGAGAGAATGAAATAAAACTTTGTATTGAAGAGATAGGCTTCCTAATACATAATGCAGGCTTAACCAGAAAAATCTATGGTAGTCAAGCTAGGAGCTAATGGAGATATATGATCATAAAATGCTCTCCGCTGAGTTTGATAATCAATGGTGCTCTACTGAGAGTAGAATAACAAAGCAGAAATATTCACAAGTGCTGGTGACACGTAGTATTGTATGATTTATTCACTGGGGTTCTTTTAGCCAAAACTCACAGAAACATAAAAGGAATTCATATTTCAAGACGTCTGGTTTAATGAAAAATTCAAAGAAATGCTGTCTTCAGTCGAAATCGTTCAAGGATACAGATGCAGTGATGGAGCTAAATTGTGCCTTCCAACCATCTGTACTAAATGTTATGTATTTAGCTGCCTCCCGAGTAATCCTTGGGAATTTTGTTTCATTTAATATTCATTTTAACATCATAAAATCGTAAATACAATGATACCATGTTACAGTGAATCCCCTGATAAAGAAAACACTTCCTGAGTCCTGGTTTCCTTCCAATAAAGTAAAATTCCTCTCATAGTGAACGGATCCCCTATTATACTAAGCAATCACTTGGCAGCATAGGTTATTTTAATGGATACATCACTTTAAACTAAGCTTTCACATCTGTTCCGCCCTTTAATTAAAAATGCAAAATGAACATGATTCACAATTGTATCATAAAAAGTAAAATATAAGTACTTTGAATGCAAGAGTATGTCCTTTATTTAGCACAACACGCAGCTTTTATGTGTTTCTCATGTTTTAGACACAAATCAAAGGCAAAAGTGCTTTCCCCTGATATAGTGATTTTCTCCCCCATGGCAAACAGGAATTCACTATAAAAGGGTTTCACTGTAATTAGTGTTATTTGAATTGCCTAGTCTGATCCAAAGCAAATTGTCTGTGGAGAGCAGCAGGACTGGATTATTTATCAACAGTCTGGGCAATTAAGAAACAGTTGGCTGCAATATGTTATTTACAAATGAACACAATGATGCTACTTCATTTTAAATTCTCTTTCTTCATTACATTAAGCAAGGCATAATTTCTGCAGTTTAATTAAGGTGCATTTTAAATGTTCACTTTAATATTATACCAATCTACTAATAATGGAAACAGTAGAAAAGATATTTCTTATAAGAAAGAAAAATGCAGGACTGCTAAATTTCATAAAAGATTCACATATATGTGCAGATGTATACACATACACAAACATGCATACACACATATATTTGAGGGAATCTCCACCCAAAGGCATGAATTAAATAGTGGACTCTATCTCCCCTTTTGTCTCCATAAATATTTTTGAGTCATACTAACTGTAGATAGCTAATATTGGAATTAAATAATGGTTGCCATGTCTAAGTATATTCCTAAACTGTTTGATAAAATTGATACAATCTTGCTTCGCAGGTCAACTTCTCTTTCTTTGGAAGGGAATGTAAGAGTTGACAAACCACCAAATAGATAAGGTACTTTTTTAATGGAAATTCCTAAGCTGAGGCCAATCATATAAGGTTCAACAAGGCCAAGTGTCGTGTCCTGCACTTTGGTCACTACAACCCCATGTAGCGCCACAGGCTTGAGGAAGAGTGGCTGGAAAGCTGCTGGCAGAAAGGGCCCTGGGGGTGTTGGTTGACAGCCAGCTGAATATGAGCCAGCAATGTGGCCAGGTGGCCAGGAAGGCCAATGGCATCCTGGTCTGTATCAGGAATAGCGTGGCCAGCAGGACTAGAGAAATGATTGTCCCACTGTACTCAGTACTGGCAAGGCCCCACCTTGAGTATCGTGGTCAATTTTGGGCACTGCAGTATAAAAAAGACATTAGGGCATTGGAGAGGCTCCAAAGAAGGGCAACAAAGCCAGTGAAGGGTCTTGAGAATAAATCATACGAGGAACAGCTGTGGGAATTGGAATTGTTTAGTCTGAAAAAAATGAGGCTGAGGGGAGACCATATAGCTGTCTACAATACCTGAAAGGAGGTTGTAGAAAAGTGGGTGAGGGTCTCTTCTCCCAAGTAACTAGTGATAGAACAAGAGGAAATGACATCAAGTTGTACCAGGGGAGGTTTAGGTTAAGCATTAGGAAAAATTTAGGGTTATCAAAAACTGGAAGAGGTTGCCCAGGGAAGTGGTTGAATCACCATCTTTGGATGTACTTAAAAGCCATCTAATATGGTGCTCAGGGACATGGTTTAGAAGTGGGCATGGTAGAGTTAGATAATAGTTGGACCTGATGATCTTGAAGGTCTTTTCCAACCACAATTCTATGATTCTGATAATCAGATTTCTGTCCATCAATGATTAAACGAAAAAATTACACGCTTTTTTGTTTATTCTTCTCATATTTGAAGACTGTGAGTGCTTAGGTCTGAATCCATCCTATTTCACTCAAGAACCTAAACTGGAGACCTAACACCATGATGCTCTTTATATCATCAGTACTGAAATACAGTGGGACTACTTCCCCTCTGAGCTTGGCAAAGTATTGAAGAGCTCTGCAATTCCATCTTTGTCTACTATATTTAGAGATAGACAATGGCAACTAGGGTTCTAACTTACATATCTCACTTAGCTGTGAGAAATCCAGGCCTTACTTTACCACTATTTAAGAAGATCACTTACAATAAAAAAAAGGAAAAATCACACATTCCTGCATTTATTCAACATTCTTCTAAATCTCAAGACAGCCAAATGCAGAATTGCTCATATAACTTTCTTACAACCTTATTCTTGTACCAAAAGCCAAGCCTGTGTCTCCACCTAGGTTCTTTTGCAAATACATTCAACCTCTGTCTTCTAATCCTCATTAGAATAATATGTACTAGTTCTGCTATTACAGGGGATGGAGAATGTGTTCATTTCTGTTCACAAAAGCATAGCCATATCCTTTCCTAGCAAGAAAAAGATTCTTTCCTGAACTGAGGCCTTCTTGTCCAGATGTCTCCTTTCTTATGCTGAAGTGGAATTTCCTGTATTTCAGCTTGTGCCCATTGGATTGCCTCTCATTCTTACACTGGGTGTCAATTCCAAGCTGACATTGTAAGGTTGACTTTCTGGGAAGAATTATCTTGCCATCTCACCTATATGCACCATTTCCACTTCTGAACCATGATGTCTTTGTATCAGTCTCTGATGTTAATATACAGGTCACCCTACTCGCTTTCTCTAAGAGTATGATTCTAAAACACATTTGAAGCCTTTTGTGTATAAGCCGTTGTACTACTTTGTCCTTATTTATTTAAAAATATATTTGAGGACACTTACAAATGTGATCTGATCCTGATTGGTGGGTTGTTTTTTTTCTTTAAACAGTTAATACAAAGCGACAAATTCAAAGGAGAACGAGAAAATCGATTAAGAGAAGACTGAGAGAGGGAACCAACACATGGTCTAAGTTTGGAACTGGCACCTTTTTATAGAGCAAATAGGCATTTGCCTAATTCCTATTGGACTGGGACTATTTAAAACTGGTTATTGAGTTGAAGCTAAACTATCTAGGATGGTGTCAAACTACATTAAACAAAATATTAACTTTTTTCCAACTGCATCTCCCTCCAAAGGGAGCTGAACATAAGGCCCATGATGCATCCTGACTTCATATAACAATGAAATGTTACAATTCTCTTTGCTTTAACAAGTGATTTCTTGACTTTGAGAAAAAACTGTAAAAAGAAACAGTGAGGTACAGTTTTATTTATGTTCTAGCGTTTGCTTGGTTTTAAATTTCATACTTTCCTGCAGGTCATGCAAGACTTTCAGAATCAAACACAACCAATACAGCTAAGTTATTAAGAGAACTATAGGAGCTTAGTTCTTAATTTTAGCTTGAGATTAATATTAGGGAAAAAAAAGCTTTATACCAAAGCATCTATATTTAGAATATAGAAAGGCACATAACTTTAGCCATACAAACACTATCAATAGTTGCTTGTTTGTTTTGTTTTCTAACTTACTGTATTTTAATAATCAAAGGAAGAGGCACTAGAGGAGTACCAAATGAAATACTAGTAGTGATGCACATATGGACAGTCAATCTGATGAGCCTCAGCCTTTGTTATTTTCCGCATCAGTACCACTCACATTTCACAATTTTGAATATAATCATTAAAATGATTTATTATCAAGTAATCATGGGTATTTTGTGCATATGCTTTGCCTTGTTTGCTGGCAGCAGATACCAACCCAGTAATTATCAGCGGACAAATCACAGAATCACAGAATCACAGAA